GCATAAGTCACCATTTATATATTAATATTAAAGAAGGAAACCATACTCTAGTATACACAAAATAATATACCACCAAAATTATAAAGTCTTATACTTCAACACAGTAAATGTTCCTAAGAAAAAAATTAAATTGGCAATACAATTTAAGTGCTACTAGAACTATCATGAGTATGAAAGTAATTAAACTTACAGTTATTGAGTTGGATTAGCTTATCTTATATTGTTACATTCCTGGTTAAAACAAACAAATCATATTATAAGTAATAATGCAATTTATTGGGCAAATTCATACTGACGTACTGTCTATATACAAAAGCTCATATGACAAGTGAAGCTTAAACGTCACTTACATGCATAGGTGCGCACGCGGGTACGCGCGCGTGTGTACGTATGTGTGTTAGCTTCCAGGTGAATATTTCATAACATGCTGACATATTATGCGAACAGCTTCGTGGTAAAAATGCATGTATGTATTGAAATTGGAAATTATATATACGAAATCTGTCTGCAAAGTATCGGAGGTACTCTTTACAACTCCGCGCCATAGTGTTCGAGCGATCTCTGTGGTGCATAAACGTAAACAGTGAAGGCTCACAAACTCAGCAGTTACTCGTTAATACCTTTCGGACGTACAACGTGACTTTGTTTACATAGTTATTTTTGAGTTTTGTGGATTTCGTGACTGTTTAAAATGAGTGAAAAGCAAGATCAACGAATTTGCATTAAATTTTTCTTTTAGCTCGGAAAAACTAGTTCTGAAACTATTCAGATGATACAGAAAGCTTTTGGGAACGAGTGTATAAGCAAAACACGAATAAAAGATAGGTTAAATCGTTTTGAAGATGGCCAAACTGCTGTTAATACTGATCCTCGTTCTGGCCGATCTTCGATGACAAAAACATTGGATAACATTGAGCGGGTGCGACTTGCGATCGAACAAGATCGTCGTATGATTGTGCGGGAAATAAAAAATACCTTGGAATACCAGAAATATAATTTAGGAAAGTTTAACCTCAAATTTATGAACGACACGCGTGTGTGCGAAGTTTATACCAAAATTTCTCATCACAGAGCAAAAACAGCTCCGCTAAGAAATCGCACAGGACAACTTAGAAATGGTCAATATTGATTATTCATTGCTTAGAAAGGTTATTACTGGTGATGACTCATGAATTTATGGTTATGATCCTGAAACAAACAACAGTCTTCTCAGTGGAAGCCCTCTGGATCACCAAGACCAAAAAAAGCAAGTCAAAGTCGAAGCAATGTTACGTCAAGGTTGATTGTTTTTTTTAATTGGGAAAGTGTTGTGCATTACAAGCTTACACCAACAGATCAGACAATCAATAAATAATTTTAATCAGAAATTATTTTTAATTGTTTTAATAGGAAAATACATCAATTGAAGTTACACATATCATTTAAATAAAGAGTTTTACCAAACTAAATAACAAATAAAACTCACAAGATAAACCCTAAGAGACCCACGATTTACACTAAAATAAAACAGTTAAGATTATACTCTAAACAAGTCCAGTTATAACAATATGGTCAATTCAGATAAAAAAAGCATTGTAAAACATTAAAAAATTTGAGGTTAGTAAGCATATCGTTAATATAAGAGTTAGATTTGTTTTGAAACATGAGCACTGAAGAAAAAATAAACCATACTGAGGTTTTATAAAATCTGGATACTTTTTCTTTTCAAGACGTTCCACTAACTAAGGTCTTGTTAAATAGTTTATGTTGCTGGATTTTTGGGTTTTTCTCTGGTATAAAATTATTTGGTCGAACTTCCCTTTTATGACATTTTTTTTATGTTGTCTGAAATATTATTTGTTTCACTTTTCTAATGCAGCGTTATTTTCATACGTACTGTTAAAATTCTGAGTCTCCAGAAAATATTTTCATGTCTCATTTTTTATTCAATTTTAGCTTCTACTTTTAATACGCCGATAAAAGTTTATCGTAGAATTAATATTCTGCAATATTCGTCTCAACGTTCCCGAACATCTAGCTTCCTGTATTATTTGTACACTTTTGTTACAGGTGTAACTGTTTTTTTTCTTATTCTTGGTACTTAGGTATACGAAAAACTCCATTTCTTACCTGTTTTCCAATGAAAAATAAGTCTAACTAAGATTCTTTGACTTTTACTGCGCTCGCTAGATTGTATACCGTCGAAGAACATGCTTTAATTTTATTAGAGTCTTACACAGACCTTAAGGATACAACTTTTTCAACTAATACTGACTTATTCACTGTGCTGTTTACTTTTCAGCACTTACAACTTAACTGTTTCCATTCTATATATTTTTAATACCAATGTAAAAAGAGCTGTTTGCTGTTTTTTTGTTTATGGCTGGAATCAATTTTTATACATAATTTTTACCAAGTTTTACCAAAAAATTACCAAACTGCCGACTTCACTTATCAGAGAGCAAAAAGGCTGTTTTTTGCAATCAATTTCTCAAATACTTTCTTTTGTTAGTAGCTGGCTAAATATAGACAAAAAAAATTACGTTTGAAAATGATTTCATGTTGGCTAACAACTTTTTTATAGCCTTTTTCGGAGAGAACCTTTATTTGATTTTTGTTACGGTTCAAGAAAACGTTAAGACTGATCAGGTTAAAATTTCGTGGGTACATTAAGAACTACTAATACCTGTCTTGAGTTCAAATTTACGCTCTTAGAATTGTAAAGAACGTGAGTTATTTACTTTTTTGGACCCAACACGGCCTATTTAGTAGTATCAAAATTACGTATCTTTCTTACCACATACTTATTTATGTGCAATTTTTCGGCTTTCTACTAAACGCACACAGCCTGTTTTGGCAATGTTTCCATTTTTTTTGTGGCCTTGACTGATATTTGCAGACATTAAATTCTGTGTCAATCTGTTACTATCTATTAAAACCACTACCTTTTTTTCCAAGATAGTCAGAATTTTGGAGTTCGAAAAACTAATTCGATCACACTATTATTGCAGGAGAGCGTCTTCGTATACTTTTGAATCACTTACACAGTTTACTGATTTTATAAGTACTCACGTTATTTCGAGATCTACTTCACACTATTTCTAGTATTATATTTTGCTACTACCTTTCTCTGTGTTTTTGCAGTTATTGTCATCACCGGTGATTGTCTTCCAGTTGTAACAAGGCAGATCTGGCTGCCAGTCTCACGCCACTCTAGCTTATGCAACGTGTATGACTATGAAAATCACATTTTCAAAGGCTTACATTACCAAAATTTTTTTGTTTTTGTTTGTGGCTCCTTGGGTAAGAAGAAAAAAACAACACGGACGAAAACGCGGCACCTACATACAGCAGCAACACCGACTAGAGAGAGCTTGAGTGGTCGCACGCGCAACTCTGTTCGATCAGCGGCGGCTGCCTTCGGGTATGAGAGAGAGATAGAAAAAAGGCCGTATAATTCGGCACTACGGTTGCAGAAAAGGCAAGAGGCCTCCCAAGTTAGTATCGGTCTGAGAGCCATTACGCAAGGAGAGATAGTCCGGAGATAGAGAAAGGATTTTTGTGTACCACCGTTTTCTTTACATGTTCTTTGTTACTTCGTGAGGAACTAGAGAGCGAAAGTTTTATTCGAGAGGGCATAAGAAATCAAGGAAGAGAGGGAGAAGCAATCTAGCTGCTGTACCCACGTCAACGGTGCTTACCACCCAGAGCGAGGTTTAGGATGAGAGAGAAAGTTTGAGTTTAACGAAATTTATTAATATCAAAGGTTACATGTACCCATATGGTAGAAGCTTTCAAATATCAATAGATTGAGTCGAGAGGCAGCGTGTCTTCCCCCGTTTTCTTGCGTCATGCTAGGCCTCACGAGCGCCGATAGGACACCCAGACACTGGTCAAGAGTAGAGGACAGGGATAAGGAGAGAAAGTGTGTGCTAGTGTGTATCTGTGCAAGAGAGAGTATGAGAGAAAGAGAGAGAGAGAGAGCCGTGTGTGAGAAAGCTTAGAGAGGACATTAAAGACATTGGACCAGGGAAAGGACAGAGTCTAGGGACAGTGGGAGTCCGTAGAGTAGGGCATAGTAGTAGAGTAGCCATGAGTCGGACGTATATCAGGAGACCGGACTGGAGTGTTCCAGGTAAAGCAGTAAAGAGAGAGAGAGAGAGAGAGAGAGAGAGAGAGAGAGAGAGAGAGAGAGACAGAAAGAAGCTATAGGGTACATAGACAAAGCCCGCAGTGATTGGGGTAGGACGAGGACGAGAAAGAGACTATAAGAAGAGAGAGAGAGATTAGAAAATATTAAATTAAATTGTATTTAAAGACTAAGAGAGAAGAGAGTAGTGTAGGCTTCGGAAGTGAGGAATGAGCAATCGTGTGTGTGTGCGAGCAACATAAGCCTGGCGTGCAACAGGATGAAGGCCCTCCCTGGCCATAGGACCCTAGACGCATTCTCACAGTTCGCGCAGCAAGGTGGTCCCTTTTGTATCCCCCTTTTTTCTACACAGGTACAAGAGCAAAGTGACACAGTGTATAAAGAAACCGTTTATATTGCGCAAGATTATATGGTGATTGATGTTATTTTACTTCAAAATTATACAAGGGATTGAATACTCAAATGTAATTAAAATACATTGTTTTTTCCCCCCGGAATGTGCCAAAACTATAAATGATTTATACCTTAATTTGAACGTTATTTTATTGAATGAACAGACTATATGCTAGGTACAATATCCTATCTTAAAAGGGAAACGGCTTATAGAGCTCAGAAATATTTGATTAAAGTAAGAACTCTTCAATGTGAATGTTATTGATATTAAAGCAATATTCGAGAAAAAGCTGTGACAGTACATTAATTTATGAGACAAAAAAACTGCAACTTTAGTAGTAAACACAAGATGCATTTGGATGATGCAAGAATAAAACTAGCCTTAATACTTTAGTTAAGGTGCGTTTTTTAATGATGCAAGAATGAAAACAAATCGTTGTACTGTAAAACTTACTAAAAATAATGCGAACATGGAAAGCTAACATGCAAGGATGTAAGGATAAAAAGGATCTTTAGAAACTTTAATCAACCTGTAAAAGATTGAAGATAAAAATAAACATTAGTATGAGGCTAGAGAGTTAGCAAGCTTAGCTTAGAAAAAATTAGAAAAAATCTCTGGCTTGCAATAGAAAATGTATTACTTATAAACATGGTGCAGCATACACAGATATACTTTCTATTCCAAAAAGCACCCTCCAAGCTAAGCTCGCCAAGTTGTTTAGTTGTCTTTTTGCCAACTCACCAGCCCTATAGTAAACTTACTTATAAATGATAGAAGAATGAAAAGTATTCTTGTCACTACAAATATGCATTTTTTATAATTCTAGGATGAAAATAGACCGTAGTACTGGAAATAAGCCTATAAATAATGCGTGGATAAAAGTAGTCTTGGTACTGCACAGTATAGGATGCATTCTTTAATGATGCAAGGATGGAAATGAGCTTGGTGTTGTAAAGTTACTTACAAATGAAAAAGCAACCATAAAAAGTATTTTTATCACTACACATAGCATGCATTTTCGAATAAGAAAATGGAAAGTTGAATAATACTTATAATGATTTAAACTTAACTCATTTTTCTAATACTTGTTTCGCAGCACATGATGTGGTATTGTAGAAGATTGTTTTGCAGCATACGATGCGTGGCAGAAACAATATATACAAGCATCGATAGTACATCAAATTTTGATTATTCTGGTTCTGATATTGCGTTACTGCCTGAGTATCTAAACACATTATCAGTACCATTGCTCCCTTCTAGGTTATATATTTTCAAGCTGATCGATACTTGTATACTTAAACGCTTATTTAAAATCTTAACATCTGTGAATGTTTATGTAATGAAACCAGGAACTCACTTTTAGAACTGCGTAGTTATGTATTACAATATAAGATTCTAACTGATGATGAGAAAGGAGTAATAGTACTGAAACTGACTATTCTTTTGTAATAAAAAAACAACAGTTTCTAATTAATTTAGCTTTTTCAATAACAATAAATAAATCGCAAGAACAGACTTTTCATAAAATCGCTATTGACGGGGGCGTTTAATAATGAGCAAGAGTCTCGACTTTACTGACAAATTAACCTAAATGCATTTTTATTAATGAATAGTTTTATAGCTTTTTTTAATTAAGTAGTAAAAGAATTCTAAAAGTGGGTACTGTAGAAGTATTACGAAGCCTTAATTTATCAAAATCCATTGAGAATCAAAGCTAAATAGTTACAGCTCGTAAATGTTCAAGTTACATGCTACCCTATGCGACTTAGGAACTTTTTAAAAAATATCGTAAGTTTGTTTCCAAAGACATCTTTGAGGATGTCACAGATGACATCAACAAAGACGTAGCTAACGCTATAGCTATCAACGTCCCTGGTAGATGTTGTTATTTTGAAAAATATGTTTTAAAAGTATTATTTAGCCATTGTAGATGCTATAATCTGCATACTTACTCTAAAACAGATTAATTGAAATGTTAGGTATATGACTTTAATACTTGTACGTAAACTAAAAATTTAATAATAGTAAACCACATAATTTCTTTTTCAAGAAATTTTCTTAAAAATTAAATAAGAATGAGAAAAATATCTTCTCCATGTGCAGATTGAACACACAACCTCCTGTTTACTAGACAGTGGCTCTACCACTTGAGCTACTGAGGAGCCGTACATTCACTCGTACGGTAAGTTTGGATAAGTTCTCATTCTTAATTTTTAAAGCTGTCTTTCACCTAAGCTCGATATAGTAGGTATATGACTCTAATGCTTGTAGGTAAACTAGAAATCTAATACGAACAACAGGTATACAAGCGAATGTTGATACATTTTCATCATTGTATAAATAGGCGCATATGTATAGATGGCGGCACTTTTTATACAAGCACTCCATATCCTCCATACATGCCCTTTTCTCAATATACAATATACTGAAGATTCATAATACTAAGCCACATAATTTCTCTTTCAAGAAATTTTCTTAAGCAGTGGACATCAATTCTGACTAGATCATTAGTTTTTCTGATGTTCGAACTGTTGATAAAAGAAGATATTTAAGTTACAAGGTGTAAATTTTTACTTGATAATAGTGTACAATAAAAAGGTATTTCCCACGCTGTTTCTATTTTGTATAAGTGAATAACCTATTTTTTTTTTTTAATTTTGTACATAAATCCTGCAGGACGAATCTCACTCATGTTGGACTCACGTATACGGACAGTGCCGCTAAATGTTGAGTCTATTACTATTTGTACAAAAAATATTTTTTTTATACTTGCTACATTAATAACCATTTTACCTAATGTGTGTGGATAATTGATTTTCTTTGCGCAGATAACATAATGAAAAAACATGGTCTATACACACTAGGAAAAAAATTTTCTGTATAATGTTATTGCATATAGTGTAGAAAGTTAAATTTTCCCAAATAAGACATGGTGTAGGACAACTTATTTTTACTCACTAGTATAAAAATAATTATATAAAAGAACTTTTTTCTAGAATTATTGATATGCATTAAAGAAAAATTTGATCTTTGATACTCATTAACATCAAGCCGAAAATAAATTTTCACTTACCACAAAATAATGTGTACTTCGTATTACTACAGATACAACTAAACATGGCTTGAGATAAAATTTTTTTATAAACATTTTAAGAAACACAAATTTATAATTACAAATCTAGGGTTATTTCCAAGACAAAAATGTTTCTCATAGAGATTTGAAGTACTTGTCCTTTAAGAATTAGCTCTTTATAGAGCACTATAATTGAAAAATATCAAATTCAGTAGTATTTCATAAAAACACGCGTTAGCAGCAGGCGACACTAAGTGCATACGTTTAAGGTAGAGAAACAAGGCAACTGCTTAAAATAAGTAATATGTAATTCAATGTTATATGTAAGATGTAATTCAATGTAATATGTAATATGTAATTCAATGTAATATGTAATATGTAATTCAAATTGAGTCCATAAACCTACATTTCTCCAGATGTTAATTGATTTGGGATAATATGAACTTCATAGATATTGTGGGGAACTGTTGTGAGCATCATAGAGATACGAACTTTAACGATGTTACACAACTAAGCCTATCCTAGAGCAACGTACATATTCTATGTTATTAAAATTTGTATGCTATAAAAAAAAACTAGAAGTTTAAATTAAATTTTTATCTTTATCTTAAAGGGATGCTATATTTAATAAGCTATTTTTTCATACACAGTGGACTATTATTTTTGTTCTGTATAGTATGATATTGAATAAACGTACTTTGTAACACAAGCAGATTTTTAGTAAGTTAAAAGCATTTCAATGAACTAATTTTCAGAATTAGATGAACATACTTACATACCCCAAGAAGCTAAATATAACATTAGCTCGAAGTAGTGGGTAAACATGTTGAAGGCTGTTACGGTCAAGCCAAAGTACTTGCCGAATGCAGGGATCTTTGAATATTAATTGTTCAGAAATTACTGAGGATCAATGAAACTTTTGATTGTTCTTAGTCGTTTATATAGCGTTTATTTAATAGCGTATATGTGTGTTATAATAGCAGTTAGCACAGCTCAGAGCGACATTGATGTTGGCTCTTTGCTAGTTGATAAATATCTGATTTATTATATTAATAGCGGAGAGAATAACTAAAGTTAACTATCTACAAATACACACAAGTAGTCATTATCAGTATCAAAATGATTAACGTTGTATTAGCTAACATTTATACTGAATGGAACGTTAAGACTGACAGTAATATAAAGAGATAAGACACAACAATATAAGTTTTGAAATTAAGGTATGTATAAATATAAAGTGAAAGTTACGAAATTAAAAAGTAATAATTTTTAATAATAAAGCAAAGTTACAGCTATTACAATTCTAGGAAATCCAACTATTACATGAAACGAATGACGCCGAGAAAAACGAAGATGGCATCAAAAGATAAAATGTGTTATAGGCTATCAACGAACAAAATTTCTTTTAAGGTAAACCCATGCTGACTTCCGGTGAATGTATGATATTTTTTGCTTATGTCTAAAACTGTTAGCGTAACAACACTGAAAAGTCCTACCGACTATCAAGGATAAGATGTTCAAAACCATTCTTTCTCCTGCTTTACTGATATAATACTTTAAGCCTATGTTATATTGCACTTGCTCGGAACGTATTCAACTTTAACAACTTCAAAAAATTAGTTTATTTGAGAGCTATTACCTGATAGTTTGGTTAAGGCCCAAAATACACATAATGATAAAGTTTTTCAACGTCAACAAAGAACTTCAAACAAACTTACTACGTTAACAGTTTCATAGATATTGAAACAATTTTTAGATTTGATATCAGAAAAATTACTTTCTAAATCATTAAGTATTGCTGTTCAAATACCTTGAGAAATCTTCTCTCACACTTAAAGGCATTAATTTATCAAACTACTAATAAAAATGTGTCTATATTACTTGGCAAAATAAAAGTCCTTTCTTTCATCTTATTTAAACTTACATAAAAACTTTTGTGCTTATGATATCTTTATAAAAATAAAAAAACGAATAGTTCTTCGAAATTTCTCAAGATCTACGTTGACAAATAACAACTTACCTTAATCCTCGTATTGCTTCTTTATGGGCTTGAAACATTTTAACGTTATTCATATTACTTTGCCAATATTTAACATATCCTGCATGGTCTCCCGTAACCATCCAGCATTCATTATGCGACCATACCATAGTCCTAACCGGACTATCATGTGCCTTTGAAAAATATGGTTTGTTAAAAAACAATAAATAATTTTAAATAAAGAAAGAAAATGTACATGTAATAATCTTGGATACTTGTTCATCAATTAAAATTTGACACAAAAAATTTTTACGAGCGTATAAAAAACAAAAGTAAGTGAAAACGCATCAAAATAAACAGATAAAAAATCTTAAGTGAAGTAATTCTACATTTAAACCTTAGTTTTTTTTTATGTCGGTAGATCGAAGTAATTTTATGTTGATAGATTTAGTAGCAAAGCTTCACTTTTACTGACACATAAAAAAAAGTACTCATTTCAGAATATTAAAAATTCAACAATTACTAAGATAAGGCTTACTACATTTCTTCCTACAACCTCGAAAATAAGAAAAATTCGCTTGTTTTCTGCTTTTTTTGTAAAGGCAAAATTTTCAATTAGACCCCATAGCCTGCCAAGACCCCCACAGCCAAGCGACTCAATGTTTTGTAGCAGCCCCCCACAGTCTATCCACCGGGACAACAACTGTCAGGTGAAAGTAAATTGCTTTTTTTTTTATTGGCGATTTGAAGGTTCAAATCGCCAATAGAAAAAAAGCAATTTGATGGACTTAAGCCTTATTGCAGGTGGTGGAAGGGTGAGGGACAGGTCGCAGACAAAAATGCCCTTCTTGTAGTAAGTGAACACGTAAAACTTTATTTAATTATAGTTGTTACGTGCGGTATGTGTTGCCGGAAGGACGATGCTCGCTGTACAAGTGCTCGGACAGAAGTAAGTAGGCTTGAACAGCTGTGACGAGCTGTATAGTGTGTTACACACGAGAGGCGTCAGGCGGCAGCACAAAGCACCTTTTCTTAATACTTCCTTTCTTTGGGTTGATCGCTCTGAAGAATCGTCTCTGAAGTTTCACACGTCTGAAGATTACTCCGACTCTGATTTGGAGCTAGTGATCTCCATATCACTGTCTCCTTGGTTTGACGTATCTGAATTCACATTAAAATAAAATATTTTAATTTCTGAGTTCTCTGATCAAAAATTACTGTTTAGTAATTTTCTTCTGAAGTAGATGTGTTTTTCTGAGGACAAAAGTTTTGTCATGATATCTGCCTCATTCTGTGAAGTGGAAATCCATCTAACATTTACTTTATTCTCCAGCACACATGCTTTCACATAGTCACTATGTGTACTTGCCATGTGACACTTTTTGCCAGTAATCTCTCTCTGTTTCAATTGTTTCTGGATCGTCTGTAGGTCATAATCAAAATTTTTGAGTCTATGACATCCATCCATCTGAGTGCTCTTAACAGCTGCCAAATTATCACACCAGATAGTCACAGGATACATAGACGTTCCCGTTTTACTTCTAGTTGCCTTATCCAGAGACACCAGCTCTTGACAGGCATCACTCATGGCTAGATACTCTGCATGACATGTCGAGAGAGTCACATATGACTGTTTGTGACTTCTCCACATAACAGGATCGCCAAACAATTTTGTGATGTACCCGCCAGTCGTAGCAGAATCATCTAGATCTCTGAAGCTCGTGTGAGTCATTTGCAAAAAGGTCTCACACTGAGCTAAGTTTTGTTTTGATTTCTAAGATTCTTCCAGCATTGTTCCCTGCGAGCAGAATATTGTTCACGTACAGAACCAAGACAACCATCTGATTTTCTTTTCACCAGGTGAACAAACATGGCTCATTTATGTCCTTCTCTAGACCTAGTTTTAAAACTTCCTCAGTGAAACGTTTGTTCCATCTTTTTGGACTTACTCTGAGTCCATAAAGGGCCTTTTCTAACTTGCAAACTCTTCTTTTTCTTTCATCTGAAGTACATTGCAAACCATCTGGAATTTCCATGTAAATTTCATCCTCTAAAGTGCCATTTAAAAAGGCTGTTTTGACATCCATTTGATATACATCTAAATTGTATTTGTTAATAATAGCAAATGCAGTTCTGACAATAGACAGTATGGAAACTGGAGCATTAGTTTCTCTGAGTTCATACTCCTTTCTATCCTTGAAACCTCTAATGACCAATCTAGCCTTGTAGACTGTTTTTCCATCTGAATTTACTTTCCTCTTAAAAACCCATTTTAAGTCAATGGTGTGGACTTTTGCTCCACTCTCATCGTAAGCGGGCCTATCCACTATAGTCCACACTTGATTTGACTCCATTGATTTTAGTTCATCTCTAATTCCTTGTAGCCATTTGTCTTTTTCATCTGAGTTCATGGCTTCTCTGAAACTTGATGGATCCTTGTTTGTCAGAGCTAAGAGCGCATGACTAATCTCATCATTCTCAATTGTTGTATTCTCAGCACTGGCTTGGCTCTGATTTATTTTTGGTTCTTCTGATGTTGGAACACGCTCAGTCAGTCGCAAGTGCGACCACGTTGGTCCATTTACTCTTGCCTTTCTATCTGGCAATTTTCTAATTTTCGGTTATTTGCAGTCAATCGTCTGAGTTTCTTTTCTTTTCTTTGGTCTGCCTCTGTGAGGTTTCACAGTTTCTTCTGGAATATTCTGTGTCTCTAAGTCTTTTTTTTCTGATTCAAACTCTAAATGGCTTTCAAAGTTCTTGCTGTGATTACTTTCCTGTGAAAACTTCCTAATATTCTTTGTGTCTCTGTACACAATCTTTTCATTGAATTTCGCGTGCCTGGAGATAACAAACTTGCCGGTCTCATATTGCCAGAGTATGTAACCCGACTTGGTATAACCTACCAGTACAGTCTTGACTGCTGTCTCTGAAAATTTTGACTCTGGGATTGGCACTCTTGTATATGCCAAGCAACCAAACCGTCTGATTTTGTCAATATAGGATTTAAGCCTTTGATCCATTCTCTGAACAGGTGTCTCGAAGTTTATTCCCGAGTGTGGTGTCCTATTGTAAACATTTGTGGCAACGTCTGATGCCAACAACCACATACTTTTGGGAAGTCCCGAGTCTATCATGAGTGCTCTGATTAGCCACTGCAGAGTCTTATTAAATCTCTCTGCAGTTCCGTTCAACTCTGGAGTATGCGGGGGTGGAAACTCATTCTCTGCATTTTCACTTTTTACAACTTCTGAAAAATGTCCCCGGTAAACTCCGTTCCATTGTCCAACCTGACGTAGCAGACCTTCTCGTTTTTGTCTAAAATGTTCCTCGTATGTTTGAGGAACTCCTCTAAGCATTCTCCAGCCTGATCCTTGGTCTTGGCGGAGTACGCCTTTGAATACTTGGTGTAATCGTCGACTATGACCACTATGAATTTGTTGCCTCCTGGATGCGACTCTGGCTTTATTGGTCCCATCGTATCGACGTGCAACCTCTCTAATGGTTTCGTTGCTCTAACTCTGATTTCGGGAGATGGTAATCTTTCCGTCTTTGCCAGTTTGCACACCTCACAATCCAGTATATTGTCTTTAAAATGTACATCTGATAGTATTGCCTCTGATTTCTGAAGTTGTTTTAAGTACTTCAAGGATTTGTGACCCAGCTTCAAATGCCACAATAGACCCTTGTCTATTTTTGCACCAACGTTTAGTTCATAACTCATAATTTCATCTAATAACCTCTGATTATCATCTGAATTGGCATCGGTCGTTTCCTTTTCCGGATTAAATTCATACTCTTTCTCCCTTCTAATCTCTGACTTTGTTATTTCGGAATCTCTTATCTCAATCGCAACGTCTGAATGTCATTCTTCTTGAATCTCTGAAATGTCAGTCTGAGATTGTTGTATAAACTCTTCTAGATTGACCATGTGTGCTGTACATGAGTAAATATTTTTCTGATTTGTACAACCAGTTGTGTTTGATTGCACCTTTAAATCTATGACCCAGTTTGGCTTTTTATACTCGCCAATCAAAAGTTCTTCTTTTGTTTCTCTATCAAAAATCTTCAGTCTAGTGTCATCTAAATATATACCTAATCCTGCATCCGCAAAGCGTCTAAGGGATAACAGGTTGTGCGAGATATCCTTCGCAGCGATCACATCAGTCAGTTTAACTCTATCATCTGAGTTTGTTTTTAAAATCAAATCACCTTTTCCATCTATGATGATATTTGCTGATTTATTTTTATTAGCACATCTGATTACTTCTCTGTTACTCTTTTAAAAATCTTTTAAAATAAAACCTTTTCTGACTATGTGTTCGGTTGCTCCGGAATCTGCGATAAATGATATTTTATTATTCTCTACATTTTTACGATCATTCTTACCTTCACTTGTTAGCATAGCTTTTATCTTTTAGGCCTTCTTGCCCTTACTACCAGAGGCTATCGACTTTACTCTGAATTTACTCTGAGATTTTTCCTTCTTAACATCCCTATCTCTGAAATTTTTATTTAATTTTCCTACATACCCGTCTTTCGGATTGTCCTTGTTTGGACACTGGTCGCCCTTGTGGTTTCTAACTGCTTGGCAGTAGAAACAGTACCACAGGTTGTATTCTCTCAAGGGACAACCTGCAGCCCTGTGACCCTCCCAGTTGCATCTGAAGCACTTTTCAGCCTTGGGCTCAGTGCTCTTGGTGACCACATTTGCTCTGACCTCTGAATTGGTTTTTCTTTGAAATTGATTAATACTCTGATTATTCTCCGCTTGCAGATTAATTAAATACGCTTTTATATCATCTAAAGACATTTCCGCTTTTGTTGTCACGCGTATGACGGAATTCGCGGTTCTTATTTCTTTGTATCTCTCTGAAACGGCGTGGTAAAAGACAGATCGCTTTTCCTTCTCTGAGAGAGGTACCATGTCTCCGTAATTTTCATATTCCGTCACGACTGTATTGAAACGGTCTATGAACTCTGAAGCAGATTCATTGGTCTTAATTTTGAGGTTATATAACCGCGCTCTGACTAACGAGGCTGTGACGTTTGTTTCTGCTAATCGGAACTCTTTAATTTTAGATATAATATCTTTTGGCTCTGAAATGTATACACTTTCTTGTGATAGTGCTTATCTAAATGGCTAATTATAAGTTCTCTGACAAGCATTTTCCTTTTATTCGACTCTGAAAAACCG